TTCCCCCTGCGTGCGGGTGATAACCCAGAAATGAGTACGGCCGGAGGCCAGGCGCTCGGTTTTCTGGGGTGTGAGTTGTGTTTCCAGTGCCCGCATTCTTACGCGGTGCCCCGCAAATGTAAACAGCGGAAATAGTCATGCTGGAAAAAAAAAAAAAGGGAACTATTGCCGTACCTGGAGGTTTCTGAAGAACCCCACCCCCCCAAAAAAAGGATCAGAAGTCCGTGGAGCAAGACTGTGAGAGCACACTTGAGGCCTGACAATGCTGGTGGTACTGAGTCTTGAATTTGATTCAGAACTTGGTGTTTTTTCACAGAGGGAGGTGAGGGGGGAAATTGAAAGTTGTTGATAAAAAGGGGCAGAGAGGCCGCTTAAACTTACAGGAGTGAGGGAGGTCTGCATTTATTGCTCACTACTGCCTTGGTCAAAAAAAAAAAAAAACGGTCCCGAAGAATGGATGGGGCAATTGCAGAAAATGTTACAGGAGCTCCTAAGAAAGAATGGTGCTGGACACCCGCAGATCATCAGCAGATTGCAAGGCACCATCATGTTCAAAAGAGACACACAAAAAAAGAAGCCATACAACAACCAACTTGTGCTTGTGTCCCTCCCTCAAACTGAGGTGCCAGGTATTCAACACCCAGTGATGCCCCAGTCATTTCTGCCCTGAAAGTCTCAGCTATTTCCATGCTGTCCCACAGACCAGCCCTGCGTCCCTCCCTGCGAGTTTCCGTTTTTGGACTCTTTGCTTCTTGTTCCACTTGCACGAGCTTCTCCCAGTTGGGTCTCAGCCCCCTATCATGATTTCCTGCCAGACTCTGCTCCTGCAGCTTTTTCCCTCAGGTTTCCTCTCACTTCGGGTTGCTAATGCCTGCACGCAGGCCTGTGACACAGGCACTTCAGGTCCAGTTTCTGCCCTTTCTCCGCACACCCACACTTGGGAACATACACACGCGTGTGTATGCGCTTATCTCTCTTAACCACCTTCCTATAGATCAGCCTTGCCAGAAGATCCCGCACTGTGCCAGGTCTCTCCGTGAGGCTTTTAAAAACAAGCACGTGAGCTGCACTTAACAGCAATGCACCCAGATGGAGCTCCGAGAGCAGAAAGATAAGCACGCTCAGGAAAAGAAAAAAATAAAATTGGCTCTGTGGCAGTGTTACCCCGGAAATGACTAGATATACCACAGAAAAACTAAATGCAGAACATCCGTTTTCAAAGGTGCCACATGCTCCACAGCGAGGACTGCCAAATGCCCGAGCACACCAAAAAGAGTAATGGTCACGTGGAAAATGATCGTACCCGGCACGTACGCATACTGTAGGTGCCATGTCGGTGACGGGCTTGCCACGCACAGCATATAAACCAGAGGGTGAATACAAGATTTACCAAAGCTTGAAGAACAACTTTCTCACTTTCATCTGGCAAGCCCATATTAAAAAAAAAGAAAAAAAAAAGAGAAAAAAATAAATACAAGGTTCTACAAGGCTTTACTTTGGGTTCAATGCCCGAAATGGCGAGGAAAGGGAAGAGGGGTGAGAGCTGGGAAATCCAGCGGAGCATTAATTGTTTAACATCTCTCTAAAAAAAAGGGATGAGCTGACCCGCCACATATTTTAAAGAGATTCCCAGGACATCGTACCACTTCCAGGAAAGAAATACGATTCCGTGGTTCCTCTGGGAAATGAAGCAGCCTGGGAGAAGAAACCCAAAATTGCTGTCAAGCTATCGCAGCCAAAGGGCAACCCATGGGACCGTGACTGCCAGTTTATTTTAATTATTTATTTGAGCAAGTATTTCAACGCCCGGCTCCCTGTAGGCTCACGAGACGTACTGCAACGAGCCCCCGGTGTTTATTGACACAAGCCGCCGCGGGAGGGCCCGTCCAGGGCGGGCTTCACCCTGACGCCGCCGCCGCACAAAATGGCGGCGGGGGGGGGCGCCACGCCCGGGGCCGCCGCGGGGAGCCGTGAGGGGACGTGGGAAGGCCCGGGAAGGGGAACCGTTTGCTTGGCTTTGTTTCAATATTAATTTTATATTAATTCTGTTTAAATCTGCGCGAGATGGCAAAGATCAGTTTTCATCTGTGCTAACGGGCCTACACTTCTAATTGCTTAATTATTTTCATTATAACGTTGCATACCACTTCAACTTTAGCTACCGTGTCTGCTGTTATTCTATTACATCTAACTATACATAACACTACTATATTGTGGAAGAATTGTTTGAAAGCAGGAACTGAGAGGAAAACTAGGGCCTAACCGAAGTTTTGGCATTACAGAAGCTTGCTGGGGGTGATACACAGGATGGTTGGTACGCACGGACTCCACAGATCCCTAGGCAGCACAGTCTGCCCTCCTCGCAGGTGCAAAGGGGAGTAATGGAGGATGGAGCGGAGTGAAGATACCACGACTAAACTCTGTTGCTGGGCTGCTGATAAGCCGCACAGTGGCTGTCTAATGGGAGATACATGATAACATGTCCGGTGCTGAGTCAGCAAGGGTGGCGAATCACTCATTTTGGATGAACTTTGCTTGAACTTTGCTCATTATAATGTCAAAACACACCTCCATCCCAA